ACTGATACCTACATCACATGGCACTCTTTCACCTGGAGGGAGGACATAAAAGCCTGAATTTTGCCTGAAACTCTCAGACTGAAGAAGTCTCTTGGAAGAGAGACGAAACGTTTCATTAAAGAAGAACCCGTCCAGAGGACCTATACAATTTTTTTTCCTTTGATTTTTTACCTGGATTACTGAGATGCATCGGGACCAGTGTTACATAGTTTTCATTTATTCAGAAGAAGAGCAGTTGAGCACTGCTACCCCACCACCACCACCCGCCTGGCCGTCTTCCCCCTCCCGACCGTCGCAAGTGTCAGATGCGGTTCTGAAAAGACGCATTTTAAACTGTCTCCAAACTTCAATTAATGCATAATTTAAGTTGGTTTTTAGTTTGAGATCTTCATATTAATATTGTAGTGTTATACAACAGCATTAATAGCCAATATAATTTAATCTAACAAATTTATGTCATTAGTTACCTTTAAAATCTAATTCCAACTCAAACATATTGTCAACATAATTATGGAGTGTGGTTTATTTTCAACATGTCCTGTTTCGGTAACCGGATATTTCAAAATAAAAGTCTATGAATATTTTGAAATGTTTTTTCTTTTTCTGTTATGCACGTTGCGATGTTCGCGTCTACGAAAATGGCTTTTTAAATAAAGTTTACTGACTTAGGCCTACTTATTGCTTCAGTCACTCACACCAAACGCGTTTTGAGCATCAGGGGAGTCAGGTTTACATGCAAAGTCAATGGTGGAACATGGACATGCGGATCAACGGCTCGTCAGTGCGCAACTCCCAGTGAAACTCGTTTATCTGATAAATTAATTATGAATTAATTATCTGGTAAGCATGATGTGCTCTTGCTCTCAGTAAATAAAGCAAAGCTACTTTCTTTATTTCATCTGCCATCCACTTGCAGAGGAGGCTCTGGACGCGCATCAAGAGCAATTTTGAAGAGCGTCTGACTGACATCAAAGTGCACAAGAGTCCAACTTGAAGGGTTTGTGTGTTTTTGTGCGTTCAGTGTGAAGTTGATCGCAGCATAATTTCTCTCCATCGGGCCATGCTTGTTTATAAAATGCATGAAAAGTGCCAAAATCACCTATATTTCCTTCAGCTTCACATATCAAATATATGTTTCACAAATCACACACTTGGTTTTAAACATTCTGCAATCAGTGTAGAATAATCTAGTCCAGGTTTGAAGTCTATGTGTTTTAGTTTTTAAGCTAAAGCAGATTAAAGATGCTCAAGGCATTGAAAACAGGTGGAATCACCCTTTAGCCATTCCTGAAAACTTCAGAGTTTTTTTCTCATAAATTTACGAGTTTTTTTCTTGAAAATTTCTGACTTTACCATGTCAGAAAATATTTAGTTTAAATGTCGCAAATTTCTGCCTTTAATTATGGAAATTTCTGATTTTTTTTTCTCGCAAATTTGCGACTTTTCAAAATAAGAGAATTTCCTGTTTTTTCTCGAAAATTTCTGAAATTAATCTCAGAAATTCTGAGTTTTTTCTCAGAGATTTGCTCCTCCTTTTTTTTCATTGGCAAAGTGGCCCTAATACGCCATCATATATTATACATAAGATCGTATTATACATGAATAAATACGGTATTTAAAACATAAATCAATAATAACTTCCTCAGAAGGAACACTTGTGGTTCAAGTAATTTAAGAAAGTATAATCTGCTTGCAGAGAGGGTTTGAGGTGAGCAACAACAGCTAAAAGAGCATTTTTACCAGTAGTCAATAAGAGGGGCAACAGAACTGTCCTCTGACAAATTTACACTAAACCCTGCATATTGAAGAATAAACTGTCTTCAAACAAACATCAAAACAATGATCTGAAAATGAAATTTGGTTTAATGAAGATTAAGACACAGGTGTGATGTAATTCCTTGTGCTAAAGACATGAACTCACCACTGTTTTGTTTGGAGGGAGAACTTCCACTGGTGCTCTCTCTCTGCTCGTGCCACTCCCTCTCCTCCTTCACCCTCTCCTCCTTCACCCTCTCTTTCTCCTGCTCCCTTTTCTTTGGCAAGATGTGGTGAGGTTTAGGCGGAGGGTAATCTCTGCCATGGATGAAGTTCCGGGGCTTCAGGTAGTGGTACCTCTGGCTGCTGAAGCCAGCTTTGTGGAATGAATGGTCATCTCTTGGGAACCTGCATTGATTGTGAGAGGGGTGAAATTGAAGCCACGTCATGTGAAGGTAAAGTTAAAAAAAAAAAAACAATAGTAATAATAATGCTCCTAGTTTTTGACCCGCCAGCCTAACCGAGGCCTGTGGACGGTCGGTCCTCCAAACTTTGGTTTGTAAGATTTGGACAACCAGGCTTTTGGTCTGGATGGGCTTCTCACTCTCCTGAATGGTCTCTTATCCTCCTGTATTGACAGTGGAAACAGTTCTTCATACATCCTAACAGAGCAGGGCTGTAAACACAATTTGTCCCACTTATGACAGAATGTACCTTAGAAGTAGCTGCAGTGCTGTCAGTGGGCCTCTTGTCAGTCTGTCGAGGAAATGTTTAAAAACAAATATTTAAACATTTGTGACGACTTCCTGCTTCCTGCTTTGTTCTGTGACAATAAAATAAAGTTGTTTTTCGCTTTTTCTTTCACATAATGCGAGAACAACCACTTCATACTGTATCTTGAAAAGAAAGTAATTGTTTTTCTATGTGCAGCTGGAGCTTCAGGTTTTTATTTTAATTTTATTTATTTAATTTTATTTTTTTACAAGAATCAGCAAACCAAGTTTTGTAAAACTGTGCTGGTTTAATGCTGATTAGCCGTAGCGGCCATCTTTAAAGGCACAGTGTGTAGGATTTGTTGTTTTCTAGCGGTTGAGTGGTTGAATCATCCTCCCTGGTCCTCCCCCCACCCCCACCCCCCCGCTTCCAAACACAAAGGAGTTGCTACGGTGTCTCTCAGGTGTCAAAAACCTTTGATAATTCCAACCACGATGTCTACCAGCAGCTTCAGGGCTAGTGATGTTTCAAGTGGTAAGATTATGAGCTTTAATAAGTAAAATTATCCCAGCTACAATGACAGACAACAAATATTACATTTATAGTATTACAACTAAAACCGTTTTTGACGCCGCCACCGCAGTTTGTCCTTCATGAGCCTTCGTAGAAAAGATGGCGGCTGCCTGTACTGGCGACCCGCGACCATGGAGATATAAACAGCTTTTTATAAGGTAAAAATAATAAAACAAGGTCTTTGTCTGCAATGAGTAGACATGTTTTTTTTTTTATATTGTCATTAGTGATTATCTCAATTTTGGCTAAAAGAATTGACAAAATCCTACACAATGTGCCTTTAATTGTAGTGGCTCCAAAAGTAAATCTACTTTAGATGTATACTCCGATCCATAAGTATTTAAAAACTGACACAATTCTCATCTTCTTGGCTGTAAATACCACAATGGATTTGAAATTAAATGAACAAGTTGTGCTTTATCTGCTTTAAGTTGAAAGTATTTACAACCAAATCAGGTGAACGGTTTGAATTAAACCAGTTTGTAGATGTGCCTTAAACAGGAACCATTTATGAAACTTTCCCTGTTTAATAATTAAAAAGTTTGAGTTAGGACTGATAATTTGTCCCATTAATACGGGTCCCTTATTTTAGCGTTTCATTAAAATCATGCCAGTGGTTAATGAAAAATTGTGCTAACAAGACAGTTGACTAAAGTGATTTTTTTACAAGATATTGTTCAAACTGTTAGTGCTCAGAACATGTGTTGGGGATCAGTCTCAGCACAAAATATTATGTCAATTGCTATAAAACTGACTGAGTTATAGCCACTTCTCTGGTTTTCAAAGTCAGCCAGCTGTGGAAGCCATCTTGCATTGGGTTAACTCCAAAAGTTAAGTCTTAGCAGATGTGCATCCATTGATTAATTTTGGCAAAGTTCAATGAAACTCATCCAGTGGTTCAAGGGATATTTTGCTAACAGACGCAACGCACAAGTATCACCACTCGTCTGGCTGTGGAGCTCACCAGCGCCCCCGTGTGTTCAGTTGTTGCACTTTTTATTCTGCTGACTTTAGTGAAATTCTTGTCGCTCTCTTTTCGTTAACGCGCCTAATTAAGGCTGAATTAATACAGGTGCTAATTAACGCAGGCGCGTTTTGTTAGCCACACACTGCTCACGTGCGGTCGAGGAGTTCACGCACCGTTTTTTTTAATTATTTCCTCGTTCCTGTGTTTACGGCCTGCCATTTTTCACCTTTCCTACCTACCTGTGTGTCTGAGGCTCGTGCATGATCCATGCTCGCTCCTGAATCTTTACGACCAGTCCAAAACAGCAGGAAGAGAATGTGGACCTCTTTACTTTCACTCCGTCTGGCTGTTAAAAAAAAAAACTTTAAAATTCAACCTTTCTGTCTGTTTTTGTCGTTTATCGGTTACCTGTCGGACTTCATCGTGCGCCCGGAGCTTGTTTTAAACCCAGTAGTTGGCTAAAGTGGCCTCACACAGAGAGGAAAGCGAAACGCGAGCATTTTCTGCAGGTTATTGCGCAAGAAAGCTACACGACGTGTTTTACTTCCTTTTCTCCCCCAGCTGTCCAATCAGCTTCGGACTGGGCTGATAAGTTTTTATCAAAAGTGAAAGTACACAAAGTGCAGTGCAGCTGCTGCCACACCTTGTTGTGTCTTTGTCTGCTGCGTTTTGAACCTGTGACTCAAAAAAAAATGGGCACATTACTGCTGCCTTAAACCTGTTTCTGCAGCTCAGCACCTTGAACTAACTTGTACCATATGGAGTTAAATGGGTGACAGCTTACATTGATATTGAAAAAGAGATTTGACATTGAGAAAAGAAACATTGAAAAATAAAACATTGAAAAATAAGCATTGAAAAGATTTTGGCATTGTAACTTTAAAATGCCAAAATCTTTTCAATGTTGTGTTTTTCAGTGTTTCTTTCTTCGATGTCAAATCTCTTTTTCAAAATCAATGTAAGCTGTCACCCATTTAACTCCATAGTACCACCTGAACTGGTTCGCATCGATGGTCGTCGCCTGTTTGCCTTTATTGGGAGTTAACAATAATATGGAATTAACTTTAATCAAGTCTGTTAGCAAAATTTCTCACAAACCACAGGACGGATTTTGATTAAACTCCCAGGACATAATCATTAGGTGTGTCTCTAGCTGATTATCATCTGGATTCAACACAGTCAAAGATGGCCTCTACAGCTGATCAACTTTGGCAAACACAAAAATGTCTACAACTCAACCAGTTTTACAGATATTGACTTCAAATTTGGCGTGGTTATAGATGCGTGTAATCCACAGCACATACTCGGAGCAATACAAGCTGTGTGAGATTCTTGTTAAAAACGTCAACATTAGCTATCAGAGTCAACTCTGTTTGTCTGATAGCAGACTATTTCAAGAACCATTGGAGGGATTTGGTTAAAACTTTCAGGAAATAAGCATTAGAGGTCGATCTTCAACTGAGTGGGCAGTTTTCTTGATGGAAACCAAACAGAATAGTGGAAAGGCTGTTTTGATGCTTGTGCATTGAATCACTTAAAGGGAGAGTATGATGCAAAATCAACTTTTTTAGCTTTATATCATGTTAAAAAGTCATTCCCTCATCAAAAACATGCCCAGAGTGTTGCTTTTACTCATTCATGCTTGTTTGAGAAATCCTTGAACCTCCTGTGGTAGCCATATGGAGCTGCCTAAATGCTGGTACAAAGCTCCGCCTATTTGTACAAAGCTCCTCCCTGGAGCTCAGTCTGCAGCTGAGCACCTGTCCCCTGAAAGGCATTGTTTGAAAACATGCTGAAATGGGAGTGTTGGAAATGGTAGGAGGTTTTTAAAGAAACAGAGGCTAATTTCAAGGTGTTTCAAAGAAATGAAGGTAACATTGTTACTTTATTGTGGTGTAGATTTGAACTATGTGCCTGGAAAAGATATAATGACCCACCCTTAAAAATACAAGTCAAATTGTTCAGACGTGAGACAGTATTCTTTTATAAATAACAGTCTGTTGTCATAGTCAAACATGGTGGCGACAGCATCAGGCTGTGAGAATATTCTACCATGAGTATTTGGGGGAAGATGGAAGCAAAGATAATCTATCTATCTGAGCATGTTTGTTAAATTCCTTACAAACTGTCCACGTACGCTGCTCTGAAAATCTATCCAGGGAAGACTGACTTCTTGTTTTTTCCTAGAATTGAGAACACCTTGTAATAAAACAAATAATGACTCGGGGAGTACAAAGAGGCTGTCAGGTTTGTGACATCCCTCCCCTTGGGTTTTATGTGTTTCACTCCACCCAGTGTCTCCACCCACCTCACTCCTTTGAGCCTGGACTCAGTCAGGAAGTATCAGCAGAACCTTGACAACTTTAGGATGACTTAAATCAGTCCTCAGATCCTGCTTCTCGCCCCACGAAGGGCTTAAATCATTCATCACTTTATTAAGGTAAGCCTGAAACAGACATGTAAATACTGAAGCCGTTCTGTCTTGTTGGTGTTTGAGGTTGGGAACCTGTTGGAGCAGGTTTACTTTCTTGGCAGGTGGCATGTAATTGTTCTGAGTGAGCAGTGAGTGTTGCCTTTAACACAAACTTTTTCTCTTATGAGGTAACAGTAAGGATTAGATGGTCTGCCAGTGAAGTAATTTTAATAGACTTCTGATGAGAAGATCAAATAGGTGTTCAATTTATAGGAGGAAGACAGATAAAAAAAGGTAAAAACAGACGATGTTATTCCTCACTCTCTGGTTTTCATGTTCCACATAGGATTTTTTTTTCTCACAATCAGCGCTAAAATCATATCTGCAAGTTTTGACTCTCCCAGCCAGGTGCATGTTGAAAGGACAACTCAGTCTGCAGGAAAAGACATGGGGTAAGGCCGACATAAACGTTTAATATTCTGACAAAGTTTAAAGTGTTAAACTAGTCATATTCTTTTTCTTCATTGAAACAAACTGTCTTATCTTAAACTGTATGTGTTTCGCATCCAGTGACAAATATTGTATATTTATTGCTCAACACCAACGGAGATGGTTTTGTTCATGTTTGTGGGGTATTAACAAAATATCTCATGAACTAAAGGACAGCTTTCATTGAAACTCTCAGAAAGTAATCACTGACTGTACATCAGCTTTTGGAGTCAGCCCAGTTAAAGATGGCCGCCACAGCGAACACAAAACTAGCTCTAACTCAGTCAGCTTCACAGATATAATACTAAAGGTGCTAAAGCTGAAGTTTTGACCAATGTAGTTTTAACTCCATCCTTTCTAAAGATGATGCTTTAGTCTAAAACTGGGGGGATGAGGCAGTGGTGCAGTGGTAAGGCAGCTGAATTGGGGACTAAAAAGATACAGGTTTAACTCCCGGGACCCGGCCATGCCTACGTGTCATGGTGTCCTTGAGCAAGACACCTAATCCCTAGCACAAATTTAATCATCATATGGAAACAAGCATTGATATAACACATTATTATTTAAAAAAAGGCAGAGGGCAACATGTTCCTTCAAAGAACCTCAGCTCTTTAATTAGTTAATATCTTTGACATGCAGTAGATGTACTACTGTGGATTTTAACTGTATAAATTTGAAGTTCTTGTCAGTTATAAAACCTATTAACGTTTCCATTTGGCACCACAGTGGATTTAATATTTAGCATTGTTGCCTCACAACAAGAAAGTCTTGAGTTCAAGCGCATGCAGGGTTGGGCCTGGGGTCCCTCTGTATGTAGTTTGCATTTAGGCCCAAGCTTCCCTTGAAAAATGGATCTATGATCTCATTACTGAAATCCATGACATTCTGCACAATCATGTTATTTTATTTATTTATTATTTTCAGGATGGAAACTTTCTCCAGATCTCAGCTTCAGCAGGAGTTGAATTTGCGATGCTTCAAATTGGCCGCCAACAACAACAGAGGCTTCAAACAAGAGTTCGGGGTAATTAAATCTGAAGAGGAGAACGGACGCTTGGACCGAATCTTTAAAATGTTTCTTATCAAGTGTTTCTGTCACCGTCTTTCTGCAGGAGCTGCACAATGTCGGCAGAGATCTCCCTGCCCGAGCAGGAGTCTTGGAGCCCAACAAAGAAAAAAACAGATATTCTTGCATTTTGCCATGTGAGTTCAACGCTTCTCCTGTTATACCTACAATATACTGCAAGAACACATCATAACATTGAAGACACTTTATTTCTCCATATGTGACTGTAGATGATCACTGCCGGGTCAGGTTATCCATTCAAAACCTAGACCCACATTCAGACTACATCAATGCCAATTTTGTGCCTGTGAGTACGATTTCTCACTCTTTTTTTCTTAACGTTGTGCTTCATGTCTTTTTTTACTTTCCATTCGTTTAATCACATTTTCTATCTATCTGTGTGGTTTCAGGGTGGGGGATCAGAACGAGACTTCATCTGCACCCAGGGTCCTTTGCCAAACACCATCGCCGACTTTTGGAGGATGGTGTGGGAGCAAAATGTCAGGATAATTGTCATGGTGACAGCTCTGCGATACAAGGACACAGTGAGACACTTTTACTAACTTCCATATTCCTTTTTTTTATTATCCTCACTAAAACAAGTGTAGTATATGATCTGATTAGACTTTTTATTAAAAACATTTGTTTGTTCAAGTTAAAAAAAACATTTTGAATGGAGTATAGCTCAGGTTCTTTAGCAGCATCCAATCAGAAAAAACTATTTGTTTCCTGTCTTTGTCCAAACAATCCACCCACCAATGACTTGAAACCTGACCACACAATAACAAGTTGCACCATAATGATGATTATGTAGCAAAAATAATAAAAAAATAAAATAAAAAAAAAGCTGAAACAACCGTGTCGGAAGTTCGTGTACTCAGACAAGAAACACTTTCTGTGAAATCACGTGTTTATGTTTTTTGTCGCTCACTGCCAAAGCTGAGGGTGATCATATGTTGGCCCGTGTCTGTGCATGTCTGTTACCAAAATATCTCATGAACCACCAGATGGATTTGAATGAAACTCTGAATATAACCACTGGATGAACATCTACAACTGTTTACCTTCTGGAGTGAATCCAATTCAAGATGGCTGCTGCAGCAATGCCGTCTTGGCAAACATCAGTTTTACAGACACTGAGCTCAAGTTTGGTTTGGTAGTAGCTGGGACTGATCCCCAACACATACTTTGAGGGCAAAACATTGCTTAAAACACTTTAGCATTAACTGTCTGTTAGCGAAATATCTCATGAACCACTGGAGGGGTTTGAATGAAATCTTCAAAAAGTTATCAATGGATGTGCATCTAGAACTGATTAACATTTGGAGTCAATTCAGTTGAAGATGGCACTGAGAGCTAAGATATAACTAAGTCATTTTAAAAGAGATTGAGCTAAAGTTTGACGTAGTGGCTCAGCGTCATGCCCAACACATACTTTGAGCGCTAACAGATCTTGCAAGATTGCATGAGGTTGCGCACATCAGATTTGACTAAAATGGCTGCAACTCCATTCTTCCTTATTATAAAATGATCCGAGTTCAAAACAGGCATGGAAATGGGCAGGCTATAAGTATTCATTGTTTCCTTTAAAGAACTTTGGGTCCTTTAACTTTTTCTTTCCTGCAAACATTTCTGCAATCTACAAGAATGTTGTCAGCATTCTCCCATGATTGCAATCAATAAAAAAAAAACATTAAGCAGACTTTGTGGAATTGTGGTATTTTAGTTATTTTAGTGATTTATCCTAAACTTTATCAGTTACAAAATCAACAATAATTTTTGAAGAAATTTTTTTTTCAAGCACATAAACTCACTTTAACTCTATGTTTTCCGTGTGTGTGCAGATTCTGTGTGATAAATACTGGATGATGGATGAGGGGACAGCTTATCACGGGTCGCTTCAGGTGACGACTGTAGCTCGGAAACAAGGTCCGGATTATTTTATCACAACCGTTAACCTGCGACAGGTGAGTTACAAGCACTTTCAGACTTATGTAAGCGTGCCCTTACACTTTAGACCAGTGGTCCCCAAACTACGGCCCACCTCTCCATTTGGTCCGGCCCCCAGAACAATACCAGAGAGCATTTAGTTTTTTTTCATGTATGTGTATTTGTATTTGATTATAAAGTTGGACTTTTGCAATAAAATGTTCCTTAGTTATGAACTATTTTCATTATTAACTATTATTAGTTAGTAACTATTTCATACTAACCCTTCTGCGGTCTGTGCCCCTATCTGGCAACCCCCAGAAAAAATCCTAAACCCGCCCCTTTCAAAGAGAGAACAGAATAATGGTGAAAAGATTAGGTAAGAGAAACATTGATTCAGAATGCAGGGTATTTAAGCTGCAGTGGACAAACAATTATTTTTTATTCATCTGTCAAGAGGCGGTAGCGGTATTCAAAGAATACAATCTGCGGGACACTATGAATCCCATCACAAAGACAAGTATGACAGCTTGCAAGGCCAAATGCGAGCAAACAAACTCTCAAAGCTAAAAAGTGGACTGTTAGCTCAGCAGAATACATACTGTGAAGAACCCAGAGAGGGTTATTTGATTGTGCTTTCTGGAAAACAATAAATTTTTACATTTAGGCACTCCTGCAATAGTCACACTTTTTTTCTGTTACAAACTGACTCCGACCCCCCGCCAGAGAAGGGAAAAGTTATGTGGCCCTTACAGGAAAAAGTCTGGGGACCCCTGCTTTAGACTGATGGAAGTGTTTGTGTTTCAGAGAGACAGCCCCATCGACAGGATAATCACACACTACCAATACCCCTCCTGGCCAGACTGTGGTGTCCCAAACCCATCTTCTCTCTGTGCGTTCACTGAGCACATCAGGCAGCATTTAGAAGCCATTCCTCGTCTGGGACCAGCTGTGGTGCACTGCAGGTGTGAACCCTTGGCTTTACAATGCAGCACCGTCTGCTCCAGGAAACTCCTTTTAGCACCGCTCTAACCAAGACACTCCTTTGGCTTTTGTGATCCAGTGCAGGCGTTGGCCGCTCGGGGACGTTTGTTGCTTTGTTGTGGATGATGCAGCTGTGTGTCCGAGGGATCACACCTGACATTAAAGCCGCTGTGAAGGACCTGCGACTGCATCGAATGTGGACAGTCCAGACCCTGGTGAGCTCATCTCCTATGATGAAAAATAATAGTGATGTATATATTTTTAAATGGACTTCAAAAAGAAGTCTCTGTACGAACCACAGAACTTGTTTGTACATCAGGTTGTTGTAGAATACAAGGTTTAAATACAAGATCAACAGACATAAAAATGTTTGATTTTGAAGGAAAAAAATTAAAAAGCTCCTTCAATGTCTCATTGATTTTACATATCAGGCAGAGGTAGGTACATTTTGTATTTATACAAAATGTAAAATTTTAACTCTAAAGCACTTTTCGTTAAAAAAGGCAAAACTTTTAAACTTTATGTAGTTTATGAAGTTTCCACTGAAGTTTATGATCGAATCCTTTACTTCATGCACTCTCTCAACTAAGATTCTTTCTGTAGATAGTTTAAAACAGGAGTGCCCAAACATTTTACCTGACAGGGCCAAAATTAAATAAAACTTTTCCCTGAGAGGGCCGAAATTAAAATATCTGAGGGCCATGGGCCAAATGCAACAAAATAAAAAATACAAATACTTCTTAAGTAAAGTTGTCTTATTTTTTCATTAATAAGCTAGCAGCCAGTGTGGTTGCCCACATTCCTTTTTTTTTCTTTCAGTCCATGGACATGGAGAAAATTCAATGTATGCTCAGGCAGCAAGGGCTCATGGGACTTTTCATAATTTAAAATTTGAGTATATGTGGTCTTTTAAGGTGTGCAAATCTATATATGGACTTAAATCTAATCTAAATCTCTCTTGTAGTTACTTGTATTTTATATTTAATCTTAACATAATTACAATCTAATAACCAGTACAACTGATGGTGGGCTAAATCAAATGGCTTGGCGGGCCAATTTTGGCCTGCGGGCCCCACTTTGGTCACCTCTGGTGTAAAATTTTTTTCTGGTTCCCAAAAATCCTACAGTTTAGTTTCATTATCATTTACAATTTATCATTAAAACATGTTTTAAAATTTAGACACGAGCAGCACAGGTTAGTGTTTAATACAGTTGCCTCACAGCCACAAGGCCGAGAGTTTAATCCTTGGTTTGGACCTGGGATCTTTCTTGTTCGAGAGTTTTCTCTGAATACTCTGGTTTCCTCCAAAATCAAAAACTTTCTTGTTTAGTCTTTGTTCAGACCTCCCCTGCAAAAGAGATCTCACTGAAATTTGCCTGGTTAAATATAGATGAATGGGAAATATCCCACAAGGTTTGTCATAATTAGGACCTATTTTTGTTGGTATTATCTGAAACCAAAAACACATTTTAGACACTTCAAATAGGTCTTTAAGATACATTTAAAAATGTGGATATTTCTAACTTAATACCTCACAATATGAGTTACCTTGAGACAAGTATTTGGGTACATATAGGTTCATCTGTTTTTCTATTTATGAATCTGTGTTGTACTCAATGTTCTCTGCTTTTTTGTGCCCTCAGGAGCAGTACATGTGTGTTCATCAGTGTCTGGTGTACTGGCTGAGTGGAGGATCATCACTGAGGTAAGAAATGTATATATAAAAATATCAATAAGACCTCCCATTAAGCAGTCACACAACTGAAACATGACATCTGACTGGGTGGTTCTTCTTCCCCTACAGCCCACAGACCCACAGTAATTACCAACCACTGAGCTCGTCAGGACGAGAGGACCGATCGGGGAGGAGGAGACGGCACCAACGACAGAAATCAACGTCAGAGCAGCAGAACTCACTCCAGATTTTTAATCCCGGGAACCTGCTGAGACGACTAATGCCCTCCTTATCTCAGCCAAATCAGACCTAACCAAACTCCTGAAACAGAAGGATGTACGCAGTTCATGCCTTAACAAAAAACAGAAACACTGGACTTATAAAGAAAAGACACTTTCATGCCCTTATCCTTCACCTCCAATGATGGTGAGACTGAAGGAAAATAAGTGTCCGACATGACACAAAAGCCCTGCATGCAAAAAAAAAAAAAAAAAAAACCTGACCTGACAACATTCAGATAAATACTTATAGCAGACAGCAGTTTGTGTTGGAACCAGAAGGAACTAACCTGCCACATCAAGTCTGACCTGTTAGGCAGTTATTCATTAGAAACGAACACGTTTACACAGGCACTACTGCAGATGCAGCACTTTTCAGCAGATAAAAGAAAAAAAAATCTTTCCTGATAAGATATTGAGTAAGTGCAGCTGGACTGTTTTTCCATCTTTTAAGTTTGTTTACTTCCATTCATAGTTGTGAGATGACTTTTATTAAGTTTTTTTTTTCTTTGCCTTTTTTGATAAATCATTGTGTATCACTTTATAGAGTTCAGGCTTTCAATACTCAGGATGGAGAGTCAACATAAAGACAGACACATGGTGAAGTGGCTGTACAAAAGAAGGTCATGTTTCAAAAACACACAGGCACTGCTGTTCGCCTTTAGATGACTGAAAACCATTACAGTTCACAGAGGAGCTACAACTTTTGTACATTATAGATCAATAAGGGCTAACTCCCAAAGACTTTTCAGTTCTCGTAGTACAGCAGACACGTAAAAATACAACAGGTGAGTCTTTTCAGTCACCGATTTCCTGAAGAGCAAAAGGAGAATCCTCCACCCTCCACTCGCCACATCCAAGTCACGAGGCAAGTGCTAGTGGCTGTGGGTTAAGTGGTGACAGGGCGTTACGACCGAGTTCATGGAGTATTTAGGTCCTAATGTGATTCGACGCTGCAGGGATCCAGAGGAACCATTATCAAGTCCAGAGATCAGTGTCTGAATGAGACGTCAACTCAACGTAAAGAAAAGTGAAATACCAAGGAAAGAGAATTCACACAGCTAGAAAAAAAGAGTTTTTCAAGCCTTGGATTGGCTTCTAAATATGATTTAATACCACCGAGGTATTCACTGTGAACTTAACTGAAATCACAGAGAATAGAGGGGGGGAAATGTAATAAAAATAAAATAAAAGCATAATAGCACAAACCAACCCTGATGCAAATATATACGACATATTTTTACAGGTTAAAACAAACAACAAATAATTAGTTCACGATTGGTGAGGCAAATCAACATCTAAAATAACATTTAAATTAGAGCTCAGGTCCACTAAAAATAAAACGATTAGACACGTCATCCTTTGGCCAAAAACAAAACTGAGTGCTCGCCCAAGACAGACAAATCATTCTCCATATCTGTTGTATGTGTATGTACAGTCAGAATGAATAGAAACATATACACGCCACCCCCAAAAACTCCATCGAGGGGTGAAAATAGAAAAGTGCTCGTAACGAGCGATCAAAGGCTTGGTGAAAAGGAAGAGTCTGCTTTGTTCCTGGTGCGACTAATGCACGCTCTCAGACATGTTAATGGCTTCCTGGATCTCACGAACAACAAGAATGCGGGCGAGCATCTGGTCCAACTGCTCTTTAGGGATTGGCTGCGCCGAATACCAAATGGGACTGTTGGGAGCCACCACAGGCTCAGGAGTCAGATAGAAAGTGTCATTGCGACCTTTAGCGCTCTGCGGGCTGAAAGAAACACAAAGAACATTGTGTGAGGATATTTTCAGGATGCTCCTATTAATTAAATGTCAAAGGATTCTGTCTGCCTACACAATCTATTATAAAATAGTTTTCATTGGGAATAAGGAGAGGTGAGAAAGCACAGTTTGAGTTTTATTCATTTCTGTCATTTTAGCCACAACATAGACCTAATATTCAGGACTGATTTCTGACTCTGATAATTACTAGTGACAAAGTTGAAAAGAGAGATTTACATAACTCTATGGTCACTATATGAGCAGTAAGCTGTGCCATAAGTTGAATCATATCTAAAAACATCTAAAAATCCTTTTAATCTTTACAAAAAGTAAAAAAATTACTGCGTAGTTGTCAGCATAGCCTCCACATATATCTATAAACAAAATCTATTTTAGGCAATGGTTCTATCAAGGCTCTGATGTTGTGGCTCTTAAGCAGATTTTTATTAACTCAATCATTTAGCAGACACCAAACAACCCAGAAGATTAAATCTTCCTTGGCTCCAATAGTTGCTTATGTCATTTAAAAAAAAAAGTTATTCACCTTTTAGAGAAAAGCACAAAGAAAATTTCTTCACAGTCAATGTTTTTGGTCAGCTGCTAAGCAACAGTGTTCTCTTACATTAGTGCGGGGTGCAACAAGCTCTCTATCTCTCATGTCAATCAAACTCTGAGTACTATTTAAGGACAAACGCTTCTCTTGAGAAAAATTTAATTGTGTCATCGTCACAGAAAGGGCAGCTAAGGTTTAAGTATAATTTTTTTGTTCCACTGACAGCAATGAAAACCTTTGTACCTTCTATTGTGGAGTGAAACTATGAAATACTCTAAACATTTACAAGCTAAAATTTTTAAATGACAACTCTAATTTAAATGAAATTGTTAGGAAACTGTAAAATAGCAAATTAGCATAATAAATATTAGGTCAAGAGGATTATGTTTCTACTATAAAGAAGCTATTAGATGTTGCATGTGCTGTATATATGTTAATTTTATTATATAAAATATCTAATCTTATGCGTGAGTGTATGTTATATGATTATAAACAAATCCATGTTTATATACTCAGGAATATTTGCAGATTAAGTACAAAACATTGGAAGGTATGGGGACAATCACAATTCTTCTTGCAGCTCTTTTTGAGCCTTTTTAAAAAAATTATACAAAACAAATGCATAAAAAAGGACTTAATTTCCCTTGCTGGATAACCTTTGCTGTTATAATATTGCTTTTTGTGTGTTAACGACCATTTTAAACTAAAGTTTCTATATAGCTTAATAATAATTTTATGTTCACCATTTAAAGAGGTAGAAATCATAGAGCTTGATAGGACAGCGCAGCGGGTTCTCTGGGTCCTCCACCTGTTCCGAGTACATGTCATCTGTCACTGAAAGGAAAATACAAACAAACAGTCAGTGAAGCCCAATAGTACAGTTCAATATTATGGTACAGTGGAGCGTTAAAGCTCAGCTTCTTTGGTTTGAGGACATGCCTAATGTTTTTTTTTTTTGGTACTACCTCAGCCAAAGTTTCAAGTGAGCCATCCTGGTACCATTTGGTTGTGTGAAAATATTGCAGACCGCTGACTGGTCAAAGACAATCAACACTTGTTGGTGTGAACAACAGCGACTCTGCAGTGACGCACACAGTGACCCACTTACTTCTATTATTAAGTCATCTGAAAGTCTGTCACAAACTTTAAAACACAAATCATGATTTTGTTGATGCGCAGAGATCGCACATGCTGCTTGTGACTCATAGTTGAGCTTCTTTATTAGTTGTGAGAATTGATTTACAAGATCTGTCTCCTTTTTTATCCTCCACTGACTGGAGTTGAGCTCTGTAGCTCGGTCATTATTTAAACTTTGTACTAAAAGCCTGTCAACCACATTTTACTTCTTTACACCCTCAAATTGAAATCGTTTTGAATGAAAATGTCAGATAAATGTCAATACAACAATCAAACAAGAATTTTGAGTTTCCTACAAGTTGCAGTAATGAAACAATGTGACTCTACCAAAGTCAGAGTGTTAAACAAAGCAGAAGAGCTGAACCAAACCATAAACAATAACATTATATTGTGACATTACCTTTTTGTCCTATAAACCTCTCTGTTGACTTCAGGTATCGGATGCTGGTGCTTTTGTCTTTGGGATTGTTGGGACTCTTCCTGGTGTGTCTCAACACCTTTGAAAAAGCCACTTTTAGATGCTGGTCCACTGTTTTCAGGTGAAAATACCTTTTAAAAAAACACATATCAATCACAATGCACAAATAAACCAGTTGATGCTTTCTTAATCAGTTTACTTTTGGAGAAAAGTTCAAGTCAGTAAAAAAAGAATGACAAAAATAAGGAGCCGTTTACTTTTTCATTCTTTAAACAGCTGGTTGAAAACAAAAACACAAAATTTTGTTTTTGCTCAAACCCCTGACTGGATGCAGTTCCGCTCCGCACTCCGCAGTAAATACATAACCACAGTATTTAGACTGTCTGCGAAGGTCAACAGTGTGAACAGCAATCCAGCAAAATCAGATTTGATCTTATTTTTGCCAGACGCCGGAGCAAATGTGGAGTCGATCAACAACGATCACATCGCAGCAGCAGGAAAAGGAGCAAGCACATCATCAGTATTTTCAAAATAATGTCAAAAAGATAGGCCAATTTTGTTAAAGTCCTAGCTATATTAATAAATATACGGGTATATTTATACACATATGCCGTTAAAATGTATCGTTCCATTTGGGAAACAGATGGCAACATGCAGCGTATGGATACACACAAAATACACATGGATGGTTTCAAAAAGACAACAGTGATGCATTTTCAACTGTTTCCAGTCTGGCTTCCCCAGAATGAATTGTTTTTGGTCTGATTTCCACATTTATACTCTATAGCGCCATCTGGCATTTCCTGCACATGCTTCACAAAGCAGCTCTGTGCTGTGGAGCGGACGCAGTATATATTAGTGTGGAGATGCATGCTGGCAAACTGCACAGCGGACCAGAGCAGAACCACATGCAGTGTAAATGTGAATGAGTTTTTTTCCCCGGATATAGCGTAAAAACTCACTTGTGTGTTGTATAATTACTTTAGAGCTGTCTACTGCTTTTTATACACTGAAATGCATCAATGCATTCCGATGTCAAAATTGATGCACAAAGCTACAAGTTGGCAGGTTTGGGAATAAACATTTTATTGGCTTAAAAAAAAAACAACAGAAAAATGTTCAAAGATTAAATACATTAATTACTACCCAGTTTTAATAAAACATTGATTCCTATATGGCTATATTTACTAACTGTTGAAAAGGCTACAACACTTTTAAGGCCACTTTTCAGACCATAGTTCCGCAATAAACAACATAGCTCCCCTTTACAGCTCATTTGTTATTCACAACACACAAGATGATTCAGTAAGATCACCAGACTCCGTGCTTTCATAACATGCAGCTGGGATCTTAGAACCAAAGGGGGTGTGGTGTAGAGACAGTGCTTGGGATACCAGTCCAAAGTTGAACTTTATTTTGTATTAGTGAAAGAAGTTAGCCATTATTGTTCCCAGTTTTTCTTGGAATGATCTTCTTCCTGGTTGCTGGTCATTACTGCATCAAAGCTGTCCAGTGATCCTGGTTTAACCTTTAATATCACGGCTATTTAAACTTGGACACTACCTTCTAAGACAGATCAAAAAGCGGAGCACCTCTGACCCACTATTTTGTGTCTACACTTTCAGATGATTGCCAGAGTGTTGAAAATACACACAGATAATGGACTGAAAGCACATATTATACTATTAATACTAAAAACTACAGTGTTTTGTACTTTTCATGAACAATGATTTGTCAAACTGGTAACAAAAGCTTTAAACAGTTTCATTCACAGTTGAACAGAAATCAAAATAATATATATTTTTAAAACACTAAAGAGTATAAACCTATTCTTTCTGACTCATAAAGTGAAATTATGCTTCTGGAAATGAGCACTTAGGCTCTTTAAAAACAATTTACTGTTATTAGAGTGCCGTGGAACTTACTTTGTGTTGAAAAACATGAGAGTTGTGAGCAGAGTTGATGGAGAATGAGCACCCAGCTGTTTGCACTCCCACAGCATTTCCTCTGTCACATGACTGGGGATAACATAACCTGTAAGTTGAGGTAAAAACATGTGATGGAAAAAAAACTGAATGGTAAAATCAAAAAATCTTGCATGCTGCTATACCATCTTTAAATAAAGTTGATTTTAGACAGTAAATAGACAAAAACATATTACAATTATATGACGATGGTTATTCAACATAAATCAATGAGAAGACTATAAAAAATTGCTTTCCACCGTGCTGCGTACAAAAATGTAGCTTCATTCAAATAGCTGCAATGTACCCATCCATCCATCCATCCATCCATCCATTTTCTTTCGCCTATCCGGGGTCAGGTCGCGGGGGCAGCAGCTTCAGAAG